CTCGAATATATGAAGAGTGATTAAGTCACAATGGATATTTAGAGATCACTTTATTGCTGTGACTTTTAGTTCGTGTGAATTTTTCAATTCGTTTGGCCCTCAGTCATTAGATATTTCGGTTCGGTTGACAACTGGCTACGCTTCAGCTCATTCTGCCATTTAATAGACATCATTAGAGCTGGAATTCATACTTTCAAACACTTTATGTTAACAGCAAGTCCAGAAGACGCGAGAATCAGTTGCAGCTCTTACGGCGTCTGTCGAGTGCGAGGATCGACGAAAGCTTAGCCTGAATTCAACCCACCCGAAAACAAGCGGTCATCCTGACTGAAGACCAACGGAAATCCAACTCACAAACCTCTTCACACTCAAATTCATACATAATGAAAGTAATTACAATGATATTGACTCAATCATTCTTTCGTCTATCCAAGTTATACGCCAAATTGGCCTCTCCATTATGGAGAAAGTGTAGAATAAGATTTCTTTGAAGTTGAAAAAATTCGCAGTTTTGAATTATTGTCTTGTCCACTTTCAGTGCTTTTCAGCACAATTTCACACCAACTGAAATTCATCACAATAATCTCCACCATGGATGCATTGCATAATCCTCGTTTCCAATGTACACATGTTTAATGTGTCGTCGGTCTCCATTCGAAACTCCTCTTTCCTACCTCAGGAATTCTTAGTCCTGGTCTCTTTCCATCTTCTCCCAAGAGTCTACACTACGCTCAGAGTCAACTTCGTCCGTGGCCAGCCAAAGAGGCCTTCGCACAAGTTCAATTCAGCCCCAATCTGGAGCAAAATTGCGATTTATTAGTTATGAGTAAAGAGACAAAGAGTGTTTACTTTCGATTGCTTAGGTTAATGCTTTGTTTGGCCCTGACCCGGGGTCATCTATGACCCGATAAGGGGGCTGTATGAAAGTGGAAATGACTAATGGTTATGACCTCATGTTGACTCTCTGAAAGTGGCTGTTCCACGAGGCAGACAGACGGATCTTGGATGTCTTGTGGGGTGGGGTAAAAGGCATAAATCTGAGGCAAGCTGATCTGGCATTGCAAATAGGCCAGTTAGTAACCGGTGGTGTGACCTGTGATATGCTGAAATGAGGGAGTATACGCTGACCCAGGCCTGGCCAAGTGAAGGACACAAGCCTGATTGTTGTTGTGACCAATGTGAGGATTGAAGGCGACCAATTTGGGGGGGGGAGGCATGAGGTGGGAACAGAGGAGTGCTGGGTCTGGTGAAATCAGGCAGGTCAGAAGGGGTCGTGTTTACATGACGCCAACATACAGACGCCTGGGATTGGAGTGAAGCAATCTTGGTCGGATCTATTGAATTATCTCGAATTATCTACAACAATCTGAGAGTCGGATAAACAGCGAGGAGGAGATCACATCAGACTTACTTTAATTTCACATTATGCAATTCACAATGTGGATGTTGAAACGAAGATTTCACTATTCTTGCCTAAAGTTTCAGGCATTTAATCTCAAATCTTGCA